TCAATGCACTCATTAATGGGCTCTGCAATGAGGGAAAGATTAAAGAAGCAGTAGAGTTGTTTAATGAGATGGTAAACAGAGGGCACGAGCCCAATGTAATTAGCTATAATACTATAATCAATGGTTTGTTCAAATCTGGCAACAGAAATATGGCTGTTCACGTGTTCAAGAAGATGGAACAAAATGGGTGCAAGCCAAATGTGGTGACATATAATACAATCATAGACAACCTTTGCAAAAATAGGGTAGTAAATGACGCCATGGAATTCTTATCTGAAATGGTGGATCGGGGCATTTCACCAAATGTTGTTACGTACAACTCCATAGTCCATGGTTTTTGCAATTCAGGACAACTGAATGAAGCTACTAGATTGTTCAAAGAAATGGTTGGCAGGGATGTTATGCCAGATACAGTGACCTTCACTATTTTGGTTGATGGGCTGTGCAAAGAAGGAATGGTTTCAGAAGCTCGGCGTGTCTTTGAAACAATGACTGAAGAAGGTGTAGAGCCAAACATTTACACTTACAATGCTTTGATGGATGGGTACTGTTTACACCACCAAATGAATGAGGCCATGAAGGTTTTCGAAATAATGGTTCGCAAGGGTTGTGTACCTGTTGTACATAGTTACAACATCTTGATCAATGGATATTGCCAGAGTAGAATGATGGACGAGGCAAAATCACTCCTTGCTGAAATGTCTGAAAAAGATTTGACTCCTGATACTGTCACTTACAGCACTCTTATGCAAGGCCTGTGCCAAGTAGGGAGACCTAAGGAAGCTCTAAATCTTTTCAAGGAGATGTGTTCTACTGGCCTGCTTCCAAATTTGGTAACTTACTCGATTTTGCTAGATGGCTTCTGGAAACATGGACATTTGGATGAGGCATTAAAACTGCTCCAGTCAATGCAAGAGAAGAAATTAGAACCTGATATCGTCTTTTATACCATTCTTATTGAAGGCATGTTTATCGCTGGGAAGCTTGACGTTGCAAAGGAACTATTTTCCAAGCTTTTTGTCGATGGAATACGACCTACTGTACATTCATACAGTGTCATGATCAAGGGATTTCTTAAAGAAGGGCTGTCAGATGAAGCATACAGGTTATTTAGAAAAATGGAAGATGATGGCTTCATGCCGGACAGTTGCTCTTATAATGTTATGATTCAAGGGTTTCTTCAAATTCGGGACTCATCAACTGCTGTACGACTTATTGATGAAATGGTTGGTAAAGGATTCTCAGCGGATTCAACTACATTTCAGATGTTACTGGATCTGGAATCCCACGATGAAATCATAAGCCGATTTATGCGTGGAAGCTCTCGAGGTAGAAAATTGAAGTGACATTTTACTATCAAGTGACGTTGCTGGCTGTTGTACCTCTTGTGAGTTACCACAGTACAAAGATCTTTAACTTTAATGCATACAATAACCATTCTTGTTTTCCATTATTTGATGAATTTTCTAATCTTAAAATAAGTATTCGAAGTTTTGAATTTGCACCTAACATGGTGACCTCTACAAATCCTAACAGAGGAATGATTAAAAAAGGTAACGAAAGCAAGAGCCAAACCCTGATACGAGATATCTGTTGCTGGCATTGATCATGTTATACTGTTTCTCAAGCGTGTTTGTGGGAATGCTTATCTAGTACCTAACCTCCCTCATCATACATCATGTGTTAATAGCAAGGCATTGCAAATAAGGCGGGGCCAATTAAGACTTGGGAGGAGGAAGGATAAAAATTATTATTATTATTATAATAGTTTTAAAAGTTAAGTTGATTGGAGTAAGGTCCAAGTCGGATGATTATTATAATTGATTTAATTTATTATATAAATAAAAATAATTATTATTATTGTTTTAAAATTCAACTTAAAGTAAGTTTCAAGTCACTAATTGTAAATATCAACTCGGTTGATTTAATTTTTTTTTAAAATAATCAAAATAATTTTGTTCCGATTAAAAATAATTTTTAAAAAATTTAATAAGTTTTTTATTCATATTCCATCTCGGGTTAATATGAGTTTTTTTATTAAATTAGATCGAGTCAATCTTTTATCTATTTCCTTTTAAACTCAAATAATCTAGACCCCAGGTTGACTTAATTTTGGGTTAACTTATTAGATTAGTTCTAATTTTGTAAGTAGAGTTATTATAATATTATTAATTTTATCATTAAATATAAACTAAAATAAAAAATATATATAATTATTTTTTTATAATATGTAAATTTGACAACAATACAAATTAAAAATAAAATAGATTTTTTATATTTTATTATATTATGTGCACCATAACCATATATGATATAAATATAGTCGATTTGTTTTATACATCATTGTGAAACACAATTCTCTTTTCATGTTTTTTTTTTTTGTTTTGTTCTATGTCTTTTCTGTCTTAGAAAAAGAATCAAACACTACCTATATGTTAAGAAAAGAAAGAGAGTCGATTTAAAAAGAAAATACTCAGATGGCCATATTCCAACTACAAAATATATTGATCTTTGTGTTAGCAAGTTTATCTTCTTGAAAAAAAATTAATAAAGGTGATTTTTGCTATAACCATGCTGGAAAAAAGTTGATCAAGGTTCATTAATTTTTTCTTCATTTAATTATATTTTTCAAGTGAGTAAAGAGTATTTTAGAGCTAAAAATGAGTTTATTGCATTTCATATGTGATTGTTTTAGATGTTTTCAGATAAAAAAAAAAACAAAATAACTCGTTGTCTGTTACAATTTTCGCTCCAAAAATAAGATAAAAACAATAAACTATTAAGCAAGTTGGGGTATGCTTTTTTATGAAAGGCCAAGGTCATTGTTATTTGATTTTTTTTATATTAATTTTTTTAATTAAATATTAATTAATATCTCATTTATTTTTAAATAATGATTGATATTTTTCTATATTTTTTTAGTTTTATAATGCTTTAAAGAGATTAATATAATTGGTGTTAATTCCTTACCATAACATCCTTAGACATTTTGTATATACAAAAAAATACAAATCAAAAGAAATCTCAATATATAAAACTTATTAATGTAATTTTATAGGATTAAATTACAATTAAAAAAGTTTGATATTTAAAAAAAAAGTGACATTGTTGATATAAAACATTACATATATAATAAAATTGATTGTGTTTGAAGACAAACTAGCGAGTATTCATTAACTATTTTTTAAAATCTATTTTAAAGAAATAAAGAGATACAGGCAAATCATGAGTGAAAATATTTTAATTGTTTTTGGTGAATCATAAATTTTATTTTTTTATTTCTTTTTTTTCAAAATAAACTACAAAACATAAAAAATAAAATATCAAAAATTACTAAAACCACAACATAAAATTTTCTATACATCAATCATTTTTATAGAAATGGTTTTTTTTTGTATTTCAATTTTTTTTTAATAATTTTATATTGTAAGTTTTAAAAAATAAAAAATATGTTAATTTATTTTTAAATGAAAATTTTTAAAAATAAATAAACATTCTTATAATTTTTTTTTTAAAAAAAAAAACTTAATGTATATGATAACGGTTCAAGGAGTCCAGAATTTGTTTGCAATATGTTTTGTTCAAGGGGAAATGATGGAAAGTCAAAGCAACAAGTGTATAGCTTAAGAAGGACAGAGTAGATTGGAAAAGCTTTCATCATCGGCTTTGAAGGAGGTGAGGAACAGTCAGAGATAACGCAGCTTTTTAACTTAACAATGATCATGTTCACGCGGAAAAGCGCTTATAGAGCTACTGCTTCTGATTTTCGGATACTTCAACAACATATGGAAATGGGTATCTTTCGTTCTTCTTTCTTATTCTTCAATCATCACCACATCTCCACTTCTGCTTGTACTAGGAAACCTTCTTCACCTCAAAACAATGGTGGGTTTGTTAGTAATAATAGCACTAACATCAGTATTGATGATGCTTTGGCTTCATTCTATCGCATGGTCCGCATCAATCCTAGGCCTTCTGTTGTGGAATTTGTTAAAGTCGTGGGCTCCTTTGCCAAAAAAAAACAGTACTCTACTGTTGTCTCTTTGTGCAATCAAATGGATTTGTTCGGTGTTACCCACAATGTTTATTCTCTAAATATATTGATTAACTGCCTTTGTCGCTTGAACCATGTTGATTTTTCTGTCTCTGTCTTGGGCAAGATGTTCAAACTGGGTATTCATCCCACTGCTAGCACATTCAATGCACTCATTAATGGTCTCTGCAATGAGGGAAAGATTAAAGAGGCAGTAGGATTGTTTAATGAGATGGTAAACAGAGGGCACGAGCCCAATGTAATTAGCTATAATACTATAATCAATGGTTTGTTCAAATCTGGCAACAGAAATATGGCTGTTCACGTGTTCAAGAAGATGGAACAAAATGGGTGCAAGCCAAATGTGGTGACATATAATACAATCATAGACAACCTTTGCAAAAATAGGGTAGTAAATGACGCCATGGAATTCTTATCTGAAATGGTGGATCGGGGCATTTCACCAAATGTTGTTACGTACAACTCCATAGTCCATGGTTTTTGCAATTCAGGACAACTGAATGAAGCTACTAGATTGTTCAAAGAAATGGTTGGCAGGGATGTTATGTCTAGAACCTAATATTGTCCATTATACTATCCTTATTGAAGGCATGTTTATCGCTGGGAAGCTTAAAGTTGCGAAGGAATTATTTTCCAAGCTTTTTGGGGATGGAATACGTCCTGATATACGAACATACACTGTCATGATCAAGGGACTGCTGAAAGAAGGGCTGTCAGATGAAGCATACGATTTATTTAGAAAAATGGAAGATGATGGCTTCTTGCCTAACAGTTGCTCATATAATGTTATCATTCAAGGATTTCTTCAAAATCAGGACTCATCAACTGCTATACGACTTATTGATGAAATGGTTGGTAAAAGATTCTCGGCAGATTTGTCTACATTTCAGATGTTATTGGATTTAGAATCTCAAGATGAAATCATAAGCCAATTTATGCGTGGAAACTCTCAAGGTAGAAAAATGAAGTGAATTTCCTATCAAGTGACATAGTAGGCTGATAAGCCTCTTGTGAGTTATAACAATACTCGGTTCTTTAACTTTATTGAATTGTTTGTAACATCTAGGGTGACTTCTAGGGATCTGTTTCTGGCTCTAGAGCTCATCTTGCATTGTGTGTTGACTTGAATCTATGTAGTACAAAGTCCAAAGTATACAATAACCAGTCTTGTTTTCCTTTATGCGATGAATTTTTTAACTTGAAGTTGGTATTTCAAGTTTGGAATCTGCACCTAACATATGACCTCTACTAGTCCCAACAAAGGAATGATTCAAAAAAGTGAACTCAAGGGTTTTCTTCATCTTGTTCTTTTATCCAAGTTACAGCAGGTTTTATTGGAGCTGATCTGAATGTGCCGTTGACAAGGCTGGCAATCTTTCTGTAGAGAGAAATGGTTAGCAGAGTCTCATCTATCCAGAGAATCTACAGTTTTAGAACACATGTGAAAATGGTGGAGGATACCTTGACTGCCATTATCATGACAATCTACAGTTTTAACGGTTTTCTTGAAAAGAGGACTCTACAGAAGCAGTAGCACAAGCTTAGGTTGTTTTACGCATTTCAAGCGGTTATTTGCATGGTACTCAAATTGTTTGATTCAGGTTTTTATTTCCAGAGTCAGTGGATGGCTGCTTGTATTTATGGTATACACTCACAAAAAGGCCTACGTGCTGCTTCTCATTTCTCAGTTTCAATTAACACCTATCGTGTAACAAGACTTGCTCAACTTCTTTAAGCTTTGCTGTTGTTCTATTCTTCTTGGCTAAATGAAGTGTTTGGACAGTATTGAAAAGGAGATGCATTCTTCTGGCCTGCTTCCAGATATGATGACTTCCTCGATTTTGCTAGTTGGCTTCTGCAAACATGGATATTTGAATGTGGCATTAAAACTGCTCGAGTCAATGCAAGAGAAGAAATTAGAACCTGATATTGTCCTCTGTAATATTCTTATTGAAGGCATATTTATTGCTGGGAAGCTTGAAGTTGCGAAGGAACTATTTTCCAAGCTTTTTGCTGGTGGAATACGGCCTACCATACAGACATACACTGTCATGATCAAGGGACTGCTGAAAGAAGGGCTGTCAGATGAAGCATACGATTTATTTAGAATGGAAGATGATGGCTTCTTGCCAGACAGTAACTCATACAATGTTATCATTCAAGGATTTCTTCAAAATCAGGACTCATCAACTGCTAAATGACTTATTAATGAAATGGTTGGTAAAAGATTCCTGGCGGATTCGTCTACAGTTCAGATGTTATTGGATGTGGAATCTCAAGATGAAATCATAAGCCAATTTATGCGTGGAAGCTCTCAAGGTAGAAATATAAAGTGACATTTCCCTATCAAGTGACGTTGTAGGCTGATGAGCCTCTTGTGAGTTCTAACGATACTCTGTTCTTTAACTTTAATGAATGATCTGTAACATCTAGGGTGACTTCCTGGGATCTGTTTTTGGAACTGGATCTCACCTTGCATTGTGTTTTGACTTGAATCTATGTATATAAAGTACAAAGTATACACTAACCAGTCTTGTTTTCCTTTATGTGATGAATTTTTTTAACTCGAAATAGGTATTTCCAGTTTTGAATTTGCACCTAACATCGTGACCTCTACTAATCCTATCAAAGGAAATTCAAAAAAGTGAACTCGAGGGTTCTTTCAACCTTGTTCTACTATCCAAGTTACACCAGGTTTTCTTGGAGCTGATCTGAAGGCGTTGTTGACAAGGCTGGCAATCTTGCTATAGAGACAAATGGTTAGCAGAGTCTCATCTATCCAGAGAATCTACATTTTCGGCAGAAATGGTGAACAATACGTCGGTTGCCATCATCATGTGAATCTGCAGTCTAACAATTTTCTGGAAAAGAGGATTCTACAGAAGCAGCAACACAAGCATAGGTTGTTCTATGCATTTCAAGTGGTCATTTGCCTGGTACTCGAATTGTATGCAGACAGATTTTGATTTCCAGAGTCTGCAGACAGGTTGTTTTAAGTGGATGGCTGCTTCTGTTTATGTCATACACTCGCAAAAAATCTGCGTGCTGCTGCTCATTTCTCAGTCTCAATTAAGGCTTCTTGTTGCTGTACAAGGAGGCTTGTCTCCCCACCCATCGTGTAACAAGGTTTGCTCAACTCGTTTAAGCTTTTCTGCTGTTCAATTCTTCTTGGCTAAATGAAGTGTTTGGACACTATTGACCATGTACATTATTCCTTTGCTCGATCGGGATTAAACTGCAATTCTGCAGAAAATGAGGTGAGGAGATTTTAGAAGGATTCTTGCCATTAGAACATCTTGTTGTTCCTTTGATTAATGCCAAATTGTATGCAGCGGCTTTCAAGCCTTCAAAGAAGATTAGATCTTTAATCTTGAGTTAAATATTATCTTAATCCAAAAAATTAAACTGTGAAATCAGATAAATAATTAAATATTACTCTGTCATGTATTGATATTTTTAGTCATGATATATCTGTAATTGTTCTTGTAAAGATACAAGTATCAACTCAAAAATAATCTTGTAATAAAATCCTTTCTAAGTTACGTAATTTTAATTTCAATATTTTATAAAATTAAGGGATTTCAAGGAAGTAATTTTTTGCAAGGAAGATTAAAATTCTTTAATAATTACTAGTCCTGTAACTCGTAGTTATGACATGGGTTGGATTATAGAGTTAATTTATAACGCAAGAGAGGAAGCTGCTAACATTATAAATATGTTTTTGGATATCATGATATATTTTTTTTATTGAGAAATGAAAAAACATTGTTTATGTTTAATAAAATAAATTAAAAAATATATGAACTAAAATAGTTGTTAATAATAATTGGATACTAAAGTGAAAAGGCAAAAGGGCAAATATTTAACGTTGATTTTTTTTTTATTTTTTATTTTTATTTAATTTTGTCTTTGAGGTTATTTCTTGTTAAAAATAACATATAATTTTCTTGGTTATAAATACGTTATGAAAATATAATTTATTTATATAAAATTAAAAATTAAATAAATTATAATGATATCTTTGAAGTATTATGAAATTAAAAAAATAATTAAAATAATTTTTATTTAAAAAATTAACTTTCATATTGTCTATAATTATAACCATTTACTTCTCATATATTAAAAATTAACTTAAAATTTTACCTGCAACGTGTCACGAGTTTAATGTTAAGTATACTACTAGAGTGTACATATTAGGAGTTTAATGTTAAGTATACTACTAGAGTGAATATACTAAATCCTATTTCGATGTCTAATCATTCGAAAAGGTAAATATACTACTAAAGCGAATGCATGTATGGAACATGTGGCAAATTTGACAGTGACATGTCTGCTTTTAGTGCCAAAATGTCTTTACACGTGGATTAAATTTTCTTTGAATCTGTATAATTTTTTTAAAATAAATAATAATATCAGTCTCGTTTAAGGTTTACAAATATTTCTTTTAATAAATATATTTTTTAAAAATTAAATTTATATTCTCAACTTTATAAAAATATAAAAACATAACAATATCTTAACTATTAAACTACTACTTTATTGAGTCATATCAGTCTATTTAAAACTAAATTACAACCAATAACTTAATATAGCTTTTATATTTTATAAATCATTTTTAATTATAAAGAAAAATAAATTATTACATGGACCCTTTATATTTATTATTTTTAATAACTATCTTGTAACTTTAAATATCGCCATGCAAAATAATTTTTTAATAATTACATAAATATTAATTCTGACTTTTATGCTTAACTTAACTCCTTCTAACATATTATCAACTTTTTTTTTTAGCCAACCATTTAAAGTGTAAATTTTTTTGGATATCCAAAAAAATATTCAAATAAGATTATGATAATCTTCAGGCCACTCGATTACTTGAAAGAAATGATACCTTGATTCACCGCTTCAATTGTGAGAAGGCCACACAATATTAACAAACCCAAATAATCCCAATGAGAGAGAGAGAGAGAGGAGGAGGAGGAGGAGGAGGACCACCCCATGGACACTAACAACCAATTTGGATAGCATGAGCATTTTTTAGCAGATTAGAGGATCTCCTTTCTAATTTGTTTTTGATTATTTTTTAGCAATTGAATTCCATTTAGAATTCAGATCAATTTCTCAAAAGGGTTTCAAACTAAGAAATTAATTGAACTCTCGGGATTGAGTTCATGTCATTTGTACTTCTCCAGCTGTTTCACGGGGCACATCATTTATGCCATGTTATGAGGTACTGAAGAGTTCTCTAACTGATCTGAAGCCATATTCAATCAAATTATTAAAATGAAAATTAATTTTATTCAGTTTTTTTTATTTCCAACATCAACATATTAAAATTACTAAAAAACAATAAAAATTAATTAATTAATATTTTCTTAAGCCAAAAATATTTTAAAAAACCACACCATTAATCCATATGTATTTTGACAGTTTGCTATGGAATGTTTCTGTACGTGAAGCTATTGGACAGATCCATATTCCTGTTTTTTTTTTTTTACATTTTAAAAATATTTAAGTTTTTATTATTAATATATTTTAAAAATATTTAAGTTTTTATTATTATTTTTTTATTTCAAATTAATATTTTTTTATATTTTCATATGATTTTGATGTATGATATCAAAAATAATTTTTAAAAAAATTAAAAAATATATTTTTAATATATTTTTAAAAAAATTAAAAAATAATAAAAAATATTATTTTAATATATTTTTAAATAAAAAATAATTACAACCATATCAGTATTAACAGCGTTGGGATTTGAGAAAAAAATGTCTGGAAATCTAAACCTGCGGTAAAATTCATATAAATCACCGAGACATGAACACGAGTGTCCTAACCAACTAGATTACAGCTTTGATTATTGTTTTGTAGGAAAATATCAAAAATATTTTTTTAAAAAATAAAAAATATTATTTTAATATATTTTTAAATAAAAAATAATTACAACCATATCAGTATTAACAGCGTTGGATACGAGAAAAAAATGTCTGGAAATCTAAACCTGCGGTAAAATTCATATAAATCACCGAGACATGAACACGAGTGTCCTAACCAGCTAGATTACAGCTTTGATTATTGTTTTGTACTAATAAACACATATTTCATATTATGTTTAGGTTTGATATTTAAGGATGTAGCATGACAAAAGTACCTCATGTTTGCTTTATTATGAACCATCCGTTTGATCGGAATAGTTGTTCAACTCAACTTGATCTAGCAAGTTTACAAGTTCAGATTGAAAAAATTATTGATGTCATGAAACTTAATTGATCCAAGCGGACAATTTACCTAACCAAATCTGGTGCAAGCTTGATTGTGCTAAAGAATTTGTTTTTATTAACCAAATCTGGTGCAAGCTTGATTGTGCTAAAAAAAATTGTTTTTACACAAATAATATTGTTTTAATAAAAATAAATAAGTTAACTTTATAGGTAATGATAATTCAGTAATTCTAGTTTTTCCAAATCAATTTATGCTCCCTTTTTTTTAATCTAGTTGAAATTATTTTTTAAAATATTTTCTATATGAAAATATATAAAAATAATTTTTTTAAAAAAATTATTTTTATATTAAATTATCAAAACAATCTAAAAATATTAAAATTTTAATTATTTTTAAAAATAAAATTTAATAAAATACCGATTCCACCGCAGCAGTCCCATGTGAAGCTAGGCGGAAGGTGTCACTAAAAGGACAGAAGATTGTTAAGATCGAGAGAGATAGACTATTAATTAGAGCTTAAAAGGGCTAATGTTCCCATGAATTGGAGTTTAATGTTCCCCTGAATTGGAGTTCAGTGTCGTCACTCGACTGATAAACATTTTGCTATCCTCACCCAATATATATATATAAGTTAGCAAGATGATTAGAAAAGGACAGAAGGAATACTATTGTAATGATGCAGGAGCAGTGCATCAACTAGTAATGAGAGCTACTCGTGTTTTCGCGCAGGAAGTGTTCTAACACTGATAAACATATAAGAAGGAACCAACCTAGTTGAACTTCTCAGTCCTGTTTGACGCAAGTATCTGAGAATCCTAGGTGCTGGTGGAGGTGCGTGCGCGCATGGTAGCGAAGCGATGTTTCTCTCTGCTTTTCAGTTTGTGGCCGTGTGGGGCTACTGATCAATATTAGGGCTTTTGAACTTGGTGTCTTTGCCACTTAAGAACAGGTTTGAAAGAAGAAAGTCTTGCAGTGAAAGATGATTTCTGCTGGGGATAATGATTGCCATCAACTGGAAGCTTTCATGCCAAGGTCATTGCATGACCTTTTTGAGCTCCGATTTGTGACTGTTCCTTCTTTAAAAAACCAGCAAACACAACACGTATTAATTTGAAGCATTTTCAAAATCCAAACACTTTAACAAATAAATAGGTATCAATGATCCACAAATTTGAAAGCTCGTTGAAGAATCCACATTTTCAGGCTTCAATCCTTCCTCCAAGCATACAACAGCAAAGAGAACCCTCCACTGTTGCTCCCACATGACCTGGTAGTGGATGAAGAACATGAGCTTCTCCCACAATCACCACTCTCCTCCGCCCATTGCAACACACTAGAGCACGACGGAGAAGGTGATGACAAGGACATTGGCCGCGGAGTCGATGTAGGCCCTGCCATGGACATGCTCTTCCTGATCAGTCTCTTCTCTGGACCAACCATTTCAGGCCACACGCCACCATCACCAACTTGAAAAATAAACACACCATGACCTTTGGTAGCACTGCCAAGACTGGTGTAATTGTTACATTTGTTGTTGTTGTTGACCCAATTGAACACATCCCAAAAGAATTCAACTTCTAGCCCGCCAACATGAATTCTTTCATTGCCTCTGAATTTCCAAGCCAACCTCTTGATAACAAGACTAATTTTACCATCAACTTTTACTACAAGCACACCCCCACCGCACTCTATTTCAATTTCATGCTTGGACCCCAAGAAATTAGCCCTGGACACATAACTCCTGAGCCCAAACACATGCTCCCTCCGAGACAACAGAGCCGGTTCACCCAGTTGGCGAGCTATGACCAGCCCCGACCTCCTAGTCAACTCGGGGCACAGATCACCTAGCAAGAATTCCAATCTTGCATTGCAAGAAATGGCAATGTAGAAGCGAGATTCCGGCTCCGCCGAGTTGTGAGTGAATTCAGCTCTAGTGAAGTCCCAGTAAAGCTTGATTTTCTTATAATGGTGGTGGGTCAAGTAGATGGATTTGGAGCCTGGTTTGTTTCTAAAGAAAGAAAAGGCTGATGAATACAGAGAGATGGTGATGGAGAAAGAATCTGCTGCGCAGATGGTTAGGGAGTGAGAGAAGAGGGTTTTTGACCAAGCGAGCGTGAGATAGGTTGGTGAGTTGCAGAGCTGAGTTTGGTAGATACATGTTATGAGATTTTGAGGCACTTGAGAGGCACTTGAGAGCGTGCTGGGATCGCTGAAACATGCTGGGATCATGTTGTTGAAATAGTTTATGCTTTTCAGCAGAAACATTGGAGAACTCTCAGGCAAGTTTGAGAGACAGAGGGAGCGTGCACGAGGGGCTTTGAAGAGTTGGTTTATGGTGGTTTGGTGGGAATATTGTTGATTTGGCTTTTGTTTATTTGCTACGAGGGAGAGACGGAAAAAAAAAGGAAGAGCGTGAAATATATGTTTTTTTTATTATTAATATGATAAGTATAATATAAATTTTATTTAATAAGTTTTTAGATTTAGATAGTTTTTTAATATAGTATTAAAATTTTAATGATGAAATAGTTATAAATTTAAATTTTATTATTTTTATTTATAAAATAAAAATTAAGTATAAAATAATATAAATTAGTGTAATTTTTAACTTTAAAGTGTTTTTTCTTAAAATGATGTATTTAAAAATAATGTAAATTATATTTTAAAATCTTAACTAACCAGTGTAATTTTTAACTTTAAAGTGTTTTTTCTTAAAATGATGTATTTAAAAATAATGTAAATTATATTTTAAAATCTTAACTAACCAATTAAATTATTATTAAATTAAAATAGTTTTTTAACATTAAAATCATATATATTAAACATGTTTGGTGATCATTAACTTTAAATCTAATCCTAGCTATTTTTTTTTCTGAATATGTAGACTTGGTTAGGTTTAGATCATCCAAGTAACTTAATCAAATCTAGCGAGATCGAGTTAATTTCAAAAATAAAGTTATTTTTTATTTAAAATTATGTCCTTCGGCTGTGACCCAGGTGTTGAATCAAAGTCTACCACTATTGCACCTTAACATGGGAATGGTTGGTTTAGTTCCGGTCCACCTAAACCATTGAACCCGTTGAGGCTTGGGTTTAGTGTAAAAAAATTTAATATACTTTAATTACAACAATTAATACTTGGGGTTTTTCGATAACACATCCACGCCTGGTCATTATTATTGTAGTTTTATTTTCGAGGAAATCTCATAAATTACTGTGTACGTTGGAGCTAAAAACTAGATAGAAACAACAGTAATAATGACAATCACGTATAGTTTTATAAACAAGGATAATAGTATTTTTTTCATTTATTTCCTATCAAAAAAGTATTGGTAGCTATAGTTTAAGCATTATATTTATTCTTTCCTATTAAATTTAAAAGTTCGATTTAATATATTTAAGAGGAGAGGGTGGCCAAATTGGTGCTTCGAGTCTCGAAAGATGGAGGCGCAAGGCTGAAGGTTGCCGTCATCCATCATCACAGTCATCGGTGGCAGCTATAAAGGCTTACTGTTCGTGTTCCCTTCCTTGATTTGCGCCTCTGAAAGGGCTTTTCAAATCTGAGTATCTCTTGTGAATATGAGCTGGGTTGCACTGGCCCTTCTTTCTCAGTCACCATTACAATCAGTGACTTTGATTTATTAATTTCTATCTTTCAGCCATACAAGAGGGTTCCAGTGCCTTTTTATATTGCTACTTTCTTTCTTTTCCCAAGACCTGTCAATTTAGGCTTCGGAATCGGTCTTTGAAAAGATTGGATCATGGGTTTGATTTAATGTTTATTTGATGAATCCGAATAGTTTTTAAAAAATAAATAGTGTTGTATTTTTTTTCCTTTTCAAATCTTTTATCGCATTAAAATTAACTAAGTTTAAAGTCAATTTTATAATTATAAAAATCAATTATTAACATGTATTATACTTAAAATCTACATTCTGCTATGTCCTTTTTGATATATAGAGCAGAGAGATGGGGTCTTGTGTGAAAGAGAGTTCTCATTGCTCAACTACTTTATTTACTTTGAGCTCATTTATTTTTTTAATTAAAAAATTATGATATAATTTATATAATTTTTTAACATATTTTTTTAAATAAAATTTTTAAAAATTTAAGATTTATATAAATCTATATTACTTTGTACTTAATTTTTTATTAAATAAATAAAGATGGTGAGATTCAAACTCGTTATTACTTAATCATTAAAGTTTTAATATCATATGAAAAAATCATCTCAGTTCAATAACTTAAACTGTTAAATAATATCTTAATATATAATTTATATTATTTTTTAATATATCCCCTAAAGAACTTGTACAAGCCTATATTATCTTGTGTTTAATTTTTTATCAAATAAATAGTAATGATGAGATTCAAACTCATGACCGCTTGATTATTAAAATTTTGATATCATATCAAAGAACCATCTCAATCCAATAAGTTAAATTGTGTGGTGAGGTTCCAAGATATGATTTATATTATTCTCTAACAATTAAAAAAATTATTTTTTTATTTTTTTATTTTTAAATTATTTTTTTTATTTTTAAATAATTTTGATATATTAATATAAAAAATAAACTTATAAAAATATTATTTTAATATATTTTTAAATAAATAATTTTTAAAAAACAAATATAATCACGGTATTTTCAGTACTCCACTGTCATGAAGTGGTGGGTGCTAAAAGTTTCACCTTTTGAGCGTATTCTATGCCCGTTGGAAATGCAAAATTGGAAGTTTGTGGCAAAACATTATATATATATATAGGCAGACAGGTGCACTCGATTCATAATAATAATAATAATAATATGTAGATGAAAAGAGAATGTGGTCCGTGTACACAGCATGTATGTCTCTTCCTTTTGTAATTTGCTTATTTTCATGCCTCCGAAAAGATACCGATCATCAAGGCTTGCTGCGATGGTGGACAAAAGACAGCAGATCATAAGTTTCATTTTGTTAGCTATAGGTGAGAGAGGTCCATCGTCCCTTTCGATTTAAATAGATTTTATTCGATCCTTCTTGGTGTGGCAGCCTATCCATTCCTTGTTTTGTGCTTGCTTTGCTTAGTTTAATTGTATAAAAAAACACGGAAAAGACAAGGGCCAAACGAACAAAAACCTTTGCAAAAAACAAATAAGTCTATGGAGGTGCCTTCTTTGTCCCTTTCGGATGCCTTCCCTGTTCTTTTTCCTTACTCTCTTCAACAATATCTTTTATTTTCTTTAATTATCATCTCAATACTCAATTGTGATTTTGTTTTCTGGTTAATTACAATACTCATTGATTGCTTAGTTGTTAGTTAATCAAAGTCATCAAGTTGTTAGTTAATCAAAGTCATCAAGTGAAAGAAATTCACTTTCACAGCCAGTTTAAGGGCATAGAACATAGAGCATTGTTTTTAATCCCAACTCGGATTCCTTGGGTTAAGGGTGAGGCAAAGATTTGAGTTACATGTGATTAAGTTATTTTTTTATTTTATAAAAAAAATAAAATGACATTATTTTTTTAAAAAAATTATAATAATATTTGATATTGTGATAATGATTGTTTTTCAAAGTATTATTTATTTAAAAATATATTAAAATAATATATTTTAAAATAAAAACTCAATTTAATATATACACATCAAAAACAATTCAAAAATAAAAGAACCTTTCAAAACACGGTTTGGAAGGGGAAAAAAAAGCAGTACCACTTAAGAATGAAAAAACACACTTCATCCTGCCAATTAGATCCAAGCACATGATGCAGCGTTTCATGCTGTTAGATATTACACGTAATCAATGGCGTGGAAGCAATTCCATGTGCCAAACTTGAAGAACCCTTCTTCTTTTGATCATATCTGGCCAACTTCATGCTCCACAGCCTTCATAAGCAAGCTATCTATTTCAAGAGCCACCAGAACTGGAGAATTACCAAACCCACGTCCCATTGCAGACATGAGCTCCCTAATCAAGCACTTGAACTCATGAGGATCGATACTCCCATTTTGATCCTCGTCAAACCTATCGAAAATGGTATCGAAAAGATGGTCAATCTTCTCTTTCTTGCTGGATTCATGCCCTAATGACATAAGTTTACAAAATCCCTCGCGAAGCTCAGATCGTGAAAGCACCCCGTCCCCATCTACATCAAGCATCTCGAAACATTCCTTGACACAGTTCTCGAATGCCTTCATGTCTTCGACGAATGTTGTCACGGTTGTCTCGTTGACGACAGCTAAACTCATTTTCTTGAATCTGTGTTTTCTTTCTCAAGAATTGATTAATCTGTATTTATATACAATCTGCATGCCCAGCGGGGGTTAGATTGTAATGGTTGATGAGGCTTCTTTTTAGAGGCATGGCTGTTGAAGTACGTGCAATATTTAGTCCATTGATTATTACCAGTTTCTATAATTAGCATGCATGTGAATTAGATAAATTAAGAAATGTTATTTTCACTCTATAAATTGTTAATCTTACTCTGCATTTATTACAAGTTTTACTACCATACAACATTAATACCCTTTAATTATCTTTATCAAGTATAAAATCTTATTTTGATTGAGTCAAATTTTATTAGAATTAATTTTATAATTATTGAGATTCAGAATTAATTCGAATAGAAAACAATGAATATATATAAATCAAAGTTTTCAAAATCTTAATTGCTTTGTTATATTTCTTTTTTCACATAAATATCATATCCGTAATATGGAAAAGGGAAAAAAACCCTTAATTAACAAGAAAATAAAAAAAATGACCATATTTTATATCAAAAGATAAGAATATTTGTGAAAAATCCAATTAAGGGTGTTTTAGTATAATAAGTAACAAAATAGATTATGTATTGGGATGGACAAACTATAGAATATATAGGAATGACATCACACATTAAATATTGTGTCATCCTTCTTTTCTAGGTTACAAAATTACAACATGCATGCTTTGGACCTCCCTAATTTGGTGTTTTGTTAAAAGCATCTTAATTAGCCGCTTTAGTAAATTAGAAGTAATACGAGGGGCTGGCTAACGCTTAAATAAATCTTAAAATTAAGTCTTTAATTAGGCAGTAGATAAATATAAAAATAATTAAAAGCATCTTAATTAGTCTCTTCCCTAAAATACAACAGCCTTGAACTTTTATATGCACGGCATAAGGACGTTCATGTTTCTCTAGGAAATTATTTTGGATTGAATTTTTTTTATTTAAATTTAAAAGTATATTTGTAATTGCTTTTTAAAATATATCTTACTCAAAATATATTAAAATAATATTTTTTTATTTTAAAAAATTATTTTTAATATAACCACATTATAATAATTTTAAAATATTAAAAAATATTAATTTGAAGTAAATAAAAAAATTTATTTTTTTTAAATATTTTTAAAATACAAAAATAAAAAAAATTCTAAGTTGCGTTATCATCGGCATATAAATATATTTATTTTTCACTTGAATTCACAATTTAAGAAGAAAATAAATGTAGGAGAGTCGCCTGAGCCCGTATACGAGCCTGCATATGCTTGAGAACTTCTATATTTGAATTGATACCACATTTAATTTAACCTAATAACCTAAACTGATCAAATACGGGGTTCATCCTTGAATATAAGATATCAATGTATCCCAAGATACGGTAAGCATCTTAAAAATGCTACTATAATCATTTATATAGAAGAAAAAAACTCTAATAATGCTGAATGAAAAAATTATTTCTTTCGAATAAAAAAAACTAGAAAAAAATAATAATTCATAATAAAAATAATAATAAAATTAACCAAAAAATTATTTATTTTTCTAGAAAAAAATTTCCATCAATCTCCTTCAGTTGTAGGAACTCATTCTTGAGTTCATACCTCCATCAAAAATTATCTTGCTCCACAAATATTTTTTGTGCATGGGTCATTCACTTGTAAATTTTTTATATTTTTATATAAATCACCTCATTATAAATATCTAATACGACACCGTTGCGTAAGCTATTCCTTCTTGGTTCACCGTCCTAGGATTTTCAATAGCATCAATTGATGCATACAGAGATAACACGGTAGTTTTTAAATATATTTTTTTCGAGTGTGAACATCCTTCTCTATTATGCCACTATAGTACGAGTCTCGTGCAGGTACACACCAATTCATTTATCACATTGTCATTCATTCTTTCAGCGGGGGTTGCTAATGCTAATACCAGAGGAGAGCCCAGCGACGATAGGTGATATCAGTGACCAAACCGGACCGGGACTGGGGAGTACGGGCGGGCTTCCTTCCTTTCGAGCGGGGTGGCTTGAGTGCGTGGTCAATAAAGAAAACCTTCCATACTACGGTTACGGTATGGATATCTAACTTGAGTGACAAAAGACAACGAATGCTTGCTTGCGAGTTCCCTTTCCCTATCACGTAAGGCTGGCTTCCCTACCGAATGCTTTCTTTCCCGAAAAATGGACATTTCCTTCTTTCCTGGTGCAGGTTCGGATGGACTAAGAGTTCCGGTAGCGGGCTTGACCAGAGTAGATTCAAAGAGAAGAACCTATTCGATAACAGCCGATTTTTGAACAATTTGAACAAAGTCAAAAGATTCGCATGACTTATTCTATAATATCTTCTAGTCATGGTTATTTAACATCACTTAATAACAACCAATCACAAAGCTTAATATACATCCTTTGTGACTTCTAATAATGGTAATTTGATAGCACAAAATAAAAATCATTGAGAATTATTGGATTCTGATATCAATTGTCTTATAACCCCTCAAAAATAAAGAATATCATAACTATTAAAAGACTCTCAAAATATTTAATTTTATTCATTCATATTTCATTTGTTCAAATACAATTACAACTCTTTATATAGAAAAAAAACTAGAAAATTCTAATAATACCGAATAAAAAAGTGAAATAGAAAAATTATTCATTAAAAAAAACTAGAATGTAAAAATAAAAATAGAATAAAATAATATTAACTAGCAAAAATATTTACATGAAGGTGTATTTTAATAAAGAAGTTCCAGAGGTTTCCATGCTGTTTCTTCAGGATGGAGGAAACTGGACGTAGCTAGTGGCTTGTACAGCTTTGCAGTAATGTCTCTTAGCTAGCCCATGGCACCTGGTTTTGGGTCAATGCAGCCCATGTTTAGGACCACGATTTGTCCACTTGTTAATTCTGGCATGATGGGCTCGGCTGGTACTGAACCGCTGTGGATGAACACGATGCAAAAGGACAAGCAAATTGCTATCAAAAGTTCTTGCTCATCTTGGCTTGTTCATAATTTCACATGGGTCTGCCGATCTGATTATTATCTTATCAAACCCCGAAATAATAAAATCGAGTTCACTTTCATCCTCTGATTGAAAGTTATTCTGCTTCGTGAAAATCTTAATTGCCCGAACTTCGTATCTTGTCTGCGAAGGAAAAAAATTATAGCTATAAAACTTAGTTAGATCTAATTCTCGGGTCATTCATTGCATGGGATAGTTTTGATTGACTTAGCCAATTCAAAATCATGTTATTTTGATTTTAAAAAGATAAAAATAAAATAATATTGTTTTATATTAAATATTACTTGAGTTTTAATTAGATGATCGTTTTTACAAATTAACTCATCAAATTGATTAAATTTAATCAGAAATATGAACATGAAATAGAACTACTAAACCAAACCGAGTTTGATAATGTTGTATTTATTTGTGGGGGGGGGGGCATGGTTTTCTTTTTTTGAGACATG